GAGGCTAAGGGGTCACCTTATAGAGGTTTATAAAATCAGGAGGGGCATAGAGAGGGTGAATAGCCAAGGTCTTTTCCCCAGGGTAGGAGAGTCCAAAACTAGAGGGGTATAAATTTAAGGTGAGAGGGGAAAGATTTAAAAGGGACCTAAGGGGCAGCTTTTTCACACAGAGGGTGGTGTGTGTATGGAATGAGCTGCCAGAGGAAGTGGAGGAGGCTGGTACAATTACAACATTTAAAAGGCATCTGGATGGGTGCATGAATAGGAAGGGTTTGGAGGGATATGGGCCAAATGCTGGCAAATGTGACTAGATTAATTTAGGATATCTGGTCGGCACGGATGAGTTAGGCAGAAGGGTGTGTTTCCATGCTGTAGACTCTGACTCTAAATGACGTGTGAGAGTGGCTGGAATTGAGAGAGAGAGAGCGCAACTGAACTTAGTTATATTTTTTCTATGACCATGATACGGTGTTCATATGGTGTCATACTGACAGCCTTCAGAGTTCCTCACAAACAATTCCGCTGTTTACAGGTCTCTAAAGACCTCTCTTTCGTTGAGGCCAAGTTGTCATTGGGTTCTCTGAAGTTCAAAGAAGTCAGTTGTTGATAGAATTGCTCCAGTAGAGAAGGATGTTATCCATACTCATGCTCTAAATGAATTCAGGAGGGATTTCTAGAGCTAATCATTTGGCCACCAGAGGAAGAGTCATGGAAATCAGGAATGTTCAAGAGGCCAGAATTGGAGGGTTCCAGCCTTGTTAGGACAAGGGCAGCAGATACATGGGAACACCAGTCCCTGCAGGTTCCCCTCCGAGCTCCTCACCATCCTGACTTGGAAATATATCACCGATACTTCAGTGTCACTGGGTCAACATCCTGGAATTCCCTCCGTAAGGGCATTGTGGGTACAGAACACGGACTGCAGTAGTTCAAAAAGGCAGCTCGCCCCCACCTTCTCAAGGGGCAACTAGGGATGGGCAATAAATGCCGGGCCCAGTCAGTGACCCCCACATCTCTTGAGTAAATAAAAGAATTCTTGGAGTCTTTCCTGCAGATTTTGCATAAGAATAGACTACTTGGCGTTTATTCTTGATACCTTCACCATTATAAGGTCAAAACAATGTCACTTCACTCAACCTCCTGTAAGTCCTGGGTGTTAACTTCCTGCTGGGTCAGCACAGAGTTCAGGGCAGGGGCCTGTGACCAAGTGATAGGGCAAAGACCACCCAGCCCTGGTGCGGCCATTAACTCGTTTCTTTCCTGAGGGGAAGTCATTTTGTGGGCGAGTCTAGAATTAGGAGACGCAGTCTAAAATGAAAGGCTCTCCCATTTAAGGCGGAGATGTGTAGGAATATTTTTCACTTAGGGCCGTGGGTCTGTGGAAACTTTCTGCAGGGGAGACTGTGTCGGTGAATAAGACCATCAGAAATAAGAACAGGAGCAGGCCATTCTGCCCCTCGAGTCTGCTCGGCCATTCAGTAGGATCGTGGCTGATCTGACATTCCTCTCGTCTACTTTCCTGCCCTTTCGCTGTCACCCTCGATTCCCCAACTGATCAAAAATCTATCGATCTCAGCCTTAAATATACACAAGGACTCTGCCCCCACAGCTCTGTGGCAAGGAGTTACAAAGACTCTTAAACCCTCAGAGAAGAAATTCTTCCTCATCTCAGTGTTAAATTGGTGCCCCCTTTATTCTGAGGCTATGCCCTCTGGTCCTAGACCCTCCCATGAGGGGAAACACCCTCTCAGCATTTACCCTGTCAGGTCCCTTAACAATCCAATATATTTCAATGTGATCACCCCTCATTCTTCCAAACTCCAGTGCGTCCCAGTCTGAATATTTTAAAGCTGAGGTAGATAGGCTTTGTGTTGTTTATTGGCCAAGAATTGGCATGGTGGCTCAGTGGTTAGCACTGCTGCCTCACAGCGTCATGGACCCGGGTTTGATTCCACTCACGGGTGACTGTGTGGAGTTTGCGCATTCTGCCCGTGTCTGTGTGGGTTTCCTCCCACAGTCCAAAGACATGAGGTTAGGGTGGATTGGCCTTGCTAAATCGCTCAGTGTCCAGGGATGTGTAGGCTGGGTGGGTTAGCCATGGGAAATGCAGGGTTACGTGGATAAGTTGGTTGCACAGATGGGATGCTTTTCGGAGGGTTGGTGTAGACTCATTGCGCTGTCGAGATTCTATGACGCGTCTAGCGTGGTGATGAGGGCTAGACAGGAATGTGGAGTTGAGGCAGCGATTGGCTGAGATATGACAGACAGGCTGAAGGGCCTATTCCTCATTCAGTGGGTGTTACAGAAAGAGAGGAAATGGCCAAAGAACCTTCACCATTCATCCTGAAGGCTGGAGGCCTCACAACATTAAAACATCCCAGAGTTCTTCACAACCAATGAGTTTCTTTTTGAAATGTAGTCGCTGTAGGAAGCAGGCCATTTGTGCACAGCAAGCTTCCACAAACAGCAACTTTATTTAATATTAAAAAAAACAGACAACCTGATGCTGGTCGAGGAATGGGTGTTGACCAGAAGAATGAAAACTTGGCTTTGGATTCTGGTGGCGAAATTTAAATTCTTTTAATCGATCAGGAATTGAAAGCCAGTCTCGGTGACCGTGATTGTGAAACCATCGTCAATTGTTGGAAAAACTTGAGGGGCAGAATGGCCTGCTCCTGTTCTTATTTCTAATGGTCTTATTCACTGACACAGTCTCCCCTGAAGAGAGAGAGAGACACCCAAGGCTCTAAGTGAAAAATCTGGGTCACTAATGCCCTTCAGGGAAGAAAACGTTCCTCCACGTGTCTCCAGACCCACAGCAATATGGGTGACTCTCAACTGCCCTCTGAAATGGCCAAGTGAGACACTCAAGAGGTAATTAGGGATAGGCAATAAATACTGAACAAACACAGAAGTTGCTGGAAAAGCTCAGCAGGTCTGGCAGCATCTGCGAAGGCAAAAAAATGTTTCGGGTCCGGTGACCCTTCCTCAGATCTGGCCTAGCCAGTGACACCCACGTTCCATTGAAGAAGCTTTAGATAACCATTAGTTTCAGTGTGACTGTGTGAACACTCCCAATCAACGACACACCCTCTGGAGTAGGTGGGTCAGGACTGTCCATGCAAGGCAGTACAGAAATGGCATTGTTGGATATAACCGTAAGAAAACCAACAGGAATAGGCCATTCGGCCCCTCAATCGTGCTCTGCCTTTCAACAGGATCGTGGCCGAATCCAATCGAACTGAATTAGCTTTATTGTCATGTACTTGCGTGACTACAGTGAAAAGTTTACAAGTCGCCACTTACGCTGCCATCTCAGATACAAAGGTGCCCAGGTACAGATTCTTAGGTATAAAGCAGTAAAATAAGGAAAACAAAATTTAAAAAGTTAAAAATTTCTTACTAAAAAGTAGCAAAACAAGGAAGCAGTTAACAGCCATAACTGTTAACACCACAGTCCATAAGCGTAGAGCTGGATGAACACAGCAGGCAGGGCAGCATCAGAGGAGCAGGAAGGCTGACGTTTCAGGTCGGGACCCTTCTTCAGAAATGGGGGAGGGGGAGGGGAAGGGGACGCTGAAATAAATAGGGAGAGAGGGAGGCAATGATGGAAGGTGGATAGAGGAGCAGATAGGTGGAGGTATTTCAGTGTAGGTGGGGAGTTAGGATGGGGGTTGGTTAGTTGGGAGAGAGGGGTGGGTAGGTGGGAGGGAAAACAGACAGGTCAAGGAGGTGGGGACGAGCTGGGCTGGTTTTGGGATGCGGTGGAGGGGGGCAGATTTTGAAGCTTGTGAAGCCCACATTGAGACCATTGGGCTGCAGGGTTCTCAAATGGAATGTGAGGTGCTGTTCCTGCAACCTTCGGGTGGCATCATTGTGGCACTGCAGGAGGCCCAGGATGGACATGTCGTCTAAGGAATGGGAGGGGGAGTTGAAAGGGTTCGCGACTGGGAGGTGCAGTTGTTTAGTGCGAACCGAGCGTAGGTGTTCTGCAAAGCGGTCCCCGAGCCTCCGCTTTGTTTCCCCAATGTAGAGGAGGCCACAACGGGTACAGCGGATACAGTATACCACATTAGCAGATGTGCAGGTGAACATCTGTTTAATGTGGAAGGTTTTCTTGGGGCCTGGGATGGGGGTGAGGGGGGAGGTGAAGGGGCAGGTGTAGAACTTCCTGCGGTTGCAGGGAAAAGTGCTGGGTGTGGTGGGGCTGGAGGGGAGTGTGGAGTGGACAAGGGAGTCACGGAGAGAGCAGTCCCTCCTCACTGACCAACCCCCATCCCAACTCCCTACCTACACTCGCCTTTACTGTCTCCATCCCCGTCTCCTTGACCTGTCCGTCTCCTTTCCACCTATCTGCTCCTTTATCCACCTTCCATCCGCCTCCCCGCTCTCTCTCTTTATTTCAGAGTCCCCTTCCCCTCCCCCATTTCTGAAGAAGGGTCCCGACCCGAAACGTCAGCCTTCCTGCTCCTCTGATGCTGCTTGGCCCCCAGCTCCACACCTTGTTATCTCAGATTCTCCAGCATCGGCAGTTCCTACTGTCTCTCAGTCCATAAGTGTCTGGCCATGCTGGGCTTGCACTCCTCACAAGGGCTGAACCCCACCCCCCGCCCACTCCGGGACTGACCCCATCCCCACTGGCCAACCTCGAACAGCCTTCTCCCGATCCCACATTCCTCACGTCTATCTTCCTGCCCTTTCCCCATAACCCTCAGATTCCCTGACTGATCAAGAATCTATCTCAGCCTTAAATATACACGAGGTCTCTGCCCCCCACAGCTCTCTGTGGCAAGGAGTTCCAAAGACACTCAGCCCTCTGAGGGAAGCAATTCCTCCTCATCTCAGTCTTAAATTTGCACCCCTTTATTCTGAGACAGTGCCCTCTGGTTCTCCCATGAGGGGGAATGATCCAATCAGCATTAATACAGCTGCCTGTAATCCTACACATGTTCCAAAACTAATGTTAAAACTAATTTTCTTTGTGTTCCTTTTGCTTTTAGGAATTCATCACTGAGCTATTAAGAAAGTTACAGGGACTTCATAAAGTGGAGGTGCAGAAGGCTGGGCTGGAGTCCCCACAACAACACTAAGAAGCTGTTGATGGACAGAGCTGTGTTATTCAGGAGACCGGGAAATTTCTTTTTAATGAATTCTTTCGAACCTGAATGGCACATGTTTTGATTGCCTCTTGCCAATGCAGAATAAGCTTTCAAAGTCAATTATTTTGCCAAATATATAAAATTTTGTTTTTGTTTGTTATTTTGTTAATGCAATTAAAGAGATTGACACAGGTTCTGGGTTTCTCTGGTTTGAATGCACAGTCCATCTGCTTATGTTACTTTTAGCAGCCTTTGCAATAGGTCATATGTGGGTTAATGAAGGCACGTTGCGTTATAGAACAGTATAACTAAAGACACACACAAACACACACACACGGCAAGCAATGCTGGAAGAATGCCCTGACAGCGTTTGTGGGAAGAGGAATGGAGTTAATGTTTCAGGTCAATGACCTTTCCTCAGAACTCTCGCCCGAGTGTAGAGGAACATTAAGTTTCTTTCTCTCGCTGCCTTTTCTATTGGCTGTTTTTAGCACTTTCTATCTTCAGTGCGGATTTCCAGCGCGTGCACCAGTTCGCTCTCACTCACCAAGACTCCCTTCCAGTCCAGTTTGAGATCTTAAATCAGCCACCTCACATCCCTGCTCTTTGGAAAGAGGGAAAATCAAAAGACAGGGGCCAGGTGATGTTTCTGCTCCCCTGGGGTGAGTTGCTGAGGGCTGCATGTCTCTTTAGAAACAGAGACTGGAAAGAGAGATCACAACAAAGGACTCAGGAGAAGGAGAGCCAGGTCATTTGGCCCATCAAGCCTGCTCTGCTGTTCCATAAGTTCATTGTCGTTGTGGTGCAAATTCAGAATTGATCCCTCATCAATGGCCGTTTGTGGAAGAGCTTTCGAGAGTCTGTATGTGGAAATATTTCCTAATTTCACCCTTCGAAAGTCTGGCTCTTGTTGCTGTTCAGTATCCACTCATTCAAGATTTCCCAACCCAGCAACAGCCATTCCTCCTGCTATACCCAAGTAGCTGATACCTTACTAACTCGCCAAATAAATCACTCACTCCTTAGCCTAAATTCCACAGAATGGACTGCCCTCGTGACTGCAATCTCACCTTGTCATGTGTAATCTCCCTGTGTCACCCACAGCCTTGGATTCCTGAGATTGGAACTTCACAACACAAGGACCAGAGGTTGAGAAGACTGACCCCTTGCTGCAGCTTTGCACATTGCAGCTCACTCACGTAGATCTACCTGCCCATTGAAATATGAGGAGGAGTCCAGCTCAGAGTCTCCTCTTCTGGGTCCAAGCAGAAACACAGAATTGTCACAGCACAGGAGGAGGCCATTTGGCCCATTGTGCCTGCACTGGCTTGTTATATGCACATCATTCCCTTGTGCCAATCTCCTGTATTTCAAGAGTGCCCTCTTGAATGTTTCAGTTTGGACGTGCCTCTCCCACACCTTGAAACAGAGCATTCCGCACCCTAACCACTCACTGCGTGAATAAGTTTTTCCAACCTCTCTTCTCTTGCAGATCACTTCACCTCCCGTTCTTGTTCCTTTTACGAGCAGGGACAGCTACCTACTTACTCTGCCCAGGTCCACTCATGATTTTGAAAACCTCGATGAGATCTCCACCTCCCGAAGGAGAACAGTCCCAACACAAGGACTAGATTTGCAGAATTTGATGTTTTTGTAGGTTTTTCAACAGGCATCTGATTCTAAACAGTCCAAGTCCAATGTATTTTTTGCAGCATGAGCTAAGGTGGTCAGACTTAACCCAAACCATTATTTCCTCCCTTGGGTTCTCTGTTTTCCTTTCGAATTAGTAGGTTTTCCCCTGAGTCCACAATTTATTCTGTAATTTCACTCAGCACCTTTTACAGTCATAGGATGCCCCAAAGTGTTTGAGAGCTTATATATTTTTAGTCCATGGACCTCAGCACATTAGCACTGCCACAGGAAATGCACCACTCAATTTCTGCACGGCAAGCTCCCATGAACAGCTTCACAATAAAGACCAGATCCTCTGGTTTAATGATGGTGACTGAGGGAAACCTGTTGGCCGCAACACCAGGCAGAGCTCTCCAGCCCTTCGAAATAGTGTCCAGCGTTTCTTTATGCTCACTTCGGGTGTCTTTGTTTAAGCATCCCGTTTAAAATCTCAGCACCTCCGACAGTTGCTGTGGCGTTTTTATTACTCATTCACACGATGAGTCTATCACTGACCAGGCCATCATTGGTTGCCCAGTTAAGGGACAGCCCACATTGCTGTGGGTCTGGAGTCACATGTACAGCCAGCTTCCTTCTATAAAGGACATTGGTGACCCAGATGGATTTCTCCCCAACAATTCAGCAATGGATTTGGGTCATTGTTAGGCCCTTAATTGTAGATTTTTATATTGAGTTGGAATGCCGCCATCTGCCATGACCGGATTGTACCCAAGTGCCCCAGAGCATTACCTGGGTCTCTGGGTTAACAGTCCAGTGATAATATCAGTAGGACATCACCTCCATCATGTTTTCTGCTGAAGGTTCCAGAATGGGTGGCACAGTGGTTAGCACTGCTGCCTCACAGCGCCAGGGCCCTAGGTTCGTTCCCACCCTTGGGCGACTGTCTGTGTGGGGTTTGCTCATTCTCCACAAGGGTTTTCTCTCTGAATCTAAAGGTGCCCAGGTTAGGGTGGATTGACCGTGGGGAATGGAGGGGTACAGGGATTGGGTCTGGGTAGGATGCTGTTCGGAGGGATGGACTGAATGGCGTACTCCCACAGCGTAGGGATTCTATGAACAGGGTTTGAACTGTCAACACTGATGATTCAGATGAAAGTGAGCTACCCACAGGTGACAGTGTGGCCTGGAGGGTTCTGAGGAAGCGAGGAGCTGTGACAATGATGGGATTGCACAATGAGGGTGAGAATCTCGATGGGACTGGTGTCAGTCAGCGAGAAACAGAACTGGGCAGCAGAATGTTCGATAAACTCAGATTCATGGAGGATGAGGCCCGGAAGGGTGAGCAGGAGTGGGAGATCCGGATTATATTTGCTTCAACGTCTCTCTTCCAACCTCTTCCATCAGGCAGAAGATACAGAAACTTGAACACATGCACCAACAGGTTCAAGAACAGCTTCTTCCCTGCTGTTAATAAACTGTTGAATGGATCTCTCTAATTTCGAATCTAATGTTGATCTCGCTTTGTGCATCCATACCACTTGTGTGCCTCGTTCTGTCTAAGCCCCCCATGATCTGTAATGTCCTTGTTTGCTATGATCTGCCTGTACTGCTCGCAAAACAAAGCTTTTCACTGTACCTGAATCAGGTACATGACAGCAGTAAATCAAATCAAATGGGGTTTGGGCCTTGCTGACTGGCCCGTATTTACATACCCTTTGTCTCAGAAAAGGCAGCAATGAGCCACTTCCTCGAACCACTGCAGTTCCTGTGGCGTGTGTACACTCACTGTGTTGGAATATGCTACAACGGAGCTCAGTTAGTTCAGAATCAACCACATTGCCGTAAATCTGACTTCCCCTGTAATCCAGACCAGGTAAGGAAGTTACATTTCCTATCTGTTAGTGAAAATGGGGTCTTCTTTTAAACAACAGAAGTCATTATTGCTGAAGCTAACTTTCAATGCCAAATGCACTAATACATTTGACCAGATGCTGTGATGGTTTCAGAGCCCTGGAGAATTACTCTAGTGACATCACTGCTACACCACTAACATCCCCCCAACTATGCTACTGGGCTGAAAAGGCTAATGTTCTGGGGACTGAAATTGCTGAAGGAACTCAGCAGGTCTGTCAGCATCTGTGGAGACAGAAAGCAGAGTTAATGTTTCGAGTCCAGTGACCCTTCTTTGAAGCAGAACAGAACATTCCTGATCTAATCACCACCCCTTGACATTCAATGGTGTTGCTGTCACAGAAACCCCCACTATAAACATCTTGGGGATTACCATTGACCAGAAACTGAGCTGGACCAGCTACATAAACACAGCGGCTACAAAAGCACATCAGAGATTGGGAATCCTGCAGCAAGTAACTCACCTCCTGACTTTCTAGAGCCTGTCCCAAAATCTACAAGGTACAAGTCAGGAGTGTGATGGAATACTCCCCACTTGCCTGGATGGGGGCAGCTCCAACAACAGGGCTAATGTGGTGGCTCAGCGGTTAGCACTGCTGCCTCAGTGCCAGGGACCTGGGTTCGATTCCATCCTTGGGCAACTGTCTGTGTGGAGTTTGCACATCCTCCCCGTGTCTGCGTGGATTTCCTCCGGGTGCTCCGGTTTCCTCCCACAGTCCAAAGATGTGCAGGCTAGGGTGGATTGGCCATGCTAAATTGCCCGTAGTGTTCAGGGATGTGTGGATTAGATGGGTTACAGGGGGATGGGTCTGGGTAGGATGCTCTGAGGGTCTGTGTGAACTTGTTGGGCCTAAGGTCCTGTTTCCACACCGTAGACATTCCATGAACACTCAAGAAGCTCGACACCATCCAGGACAAAGCAGCACCCATTTGTTTGGCACCACATCCACAAACATCCCACTTCCTCCATCACTGACACTCAGTAGCAGCAGTGTGTACCATCTACAAGATGCACAGCAGAAACTCACCAAAGATCCTCAGACAGCACCTTCCAATCCCAGTCTTACTCCGGCCCCCACCCACAACTCTTGTTCCGATATATCAATGACATGATCAGTGCTGCTTCCTGCTCTCATCCAGAAAACTTCATCAGTTTCAATTCCAATTTCCACTCTGCTCTCACCTTCACTGATACATCACTGACTCTTCACTCCTTCCTTGGCTTCTCTGTTTCCATTTCTGGGGACAGGCTGGACTACATCTCCTCACATCCTGCTTCCTGTAAGGATTCCATGTCATTCTCCCAGCCTCTCCGTCTCCATCATGTCTGTTCCGATGGTACCAGCGTTCCCTGTGTCTGATAAATCCTCCTTTCTCTTCACCTGGTGAAGGAGCAGCACTGTGAAAGCTTGTGTGGTTTCAAATAAACCAGATGTTGTGTGACTTCTGACTTTGCTCAACACTGGCACCTGCACATCATGATTTTTCCCTCAACTAAGAATCCCTTGTGACTGTGGTCAGCAGAGCTTTCAGGTGTATCTCACCCACCTCCCGAACTTCTGGCCTCACCCCTTCTACCTTCCTCCCAGAATAACCTTGTCCTCTCTTCCCACCTCACCAATCTCCGCATTTGAAGGATCAATCCACCT